CCGCGAGATCATGACCTGAGCTGAAGTCGGCCGCTTAACCGACCGAGCCACCCAGGCGCCCCCATAAAGCCATTTTAGAACTCCCATTTACTCATTCATTCTTTGAGCAATTATTTATTGAGAACTTGCTTTGTGTTCATCACTGTACTAGGCACTGAGGAGGCATATTTTAAAATTGCCCTCTAGCTTTGTAAAGTTTTTGGATCAAATCTGTTGTCAGGGTCCTAGCAGGAAATAGATTGCACTTTCAATGGGATGAAAGAGAGATCTATTTAATGGAGGTACTATTTACATACTATTTACTATGTGGTCAGGGCTGAGAATAAGCAGACAGGCAAGGATGAAGCACCACAAGGCTAGCCACAGTCCTACATCTGAAGGTCAAGTGGAAATAGTAGTTAGTGGAACCAAGGGAACTTAGAAGACAGGTGCCTACAGAGCTGTGACGTAGGGTAGAAGACTGTAGCCACTGCTACGCCATAGCCAGCAGGAGAAATCCCTCTTTCTTCTTGCCTCCCATCTACTGCCTCTGCTTCCCATTGGCTGAACACACCCTGTAGCCAGAGGGCTAGAGAGCCCATGGACAGTAGTCCCAGAGCACCAGCCTCCAAGAGCACAGGATAGAAAAGGTGGAGGGGTGAATCTCGATTGGAAAATGAAGAGTATCCAGAAAACATCTCTCTTCTAGTTTTTCTTGTTTTATATAACAGATATTGTGTTTTATTTCTGAATATAAAAGTAAAATATTTTTAATATATAACATTTGGAAAACTGCCTTGTAACTTGAGATCCTGCTTTTTCCTAACCAGGTCATCCTCTCAGTTAGAGGCACATAAATGTATCCAATAAGCTCTCACACTCAAAGTGTCATAAAATATAAATTTATTTCCATGGCTTAGACCTCTTAAAAGTACTCTTGCTTGCCAGATGATCTACTGATGTTACCCTGGAACATTTTGTTTTTCTTCCTGTCATAAATTTCCTTAGCATGGCATCTTTCACACCCTTAGTATACTAAATTCCTTTCCATATTTTTGCACACCATGTTGTTCTTAATTATCCCCAGAATTAACAAATTCTACTTGTTATTTAAGGCTAAAAAGAATCCTCATTTCCTTCCCAAAGCCTTCCCTGAAACCCAACACCAACTATTTCTTTATTTCAAAGAAGAGTTTTATTTACACGTATGACTTTAGCATTCAATTATATTCTTTGATTTATTAGCTTTACAAATATTTTTGAACAACTACTATGTACTAAGTACACATTTAATATGTGTAAATTTTTCCTTTCAAAGTAGAAGTTTTGAGGGCCATATTTGCTTTGAGCTTCCTTCCTTCCTTCCTTTCCATTTCTTTATTAGATTTATTTTAGAGAGAGAGAGCCAGTGGGGGAGAGGAGCAGAGGGAGAGAGAGAGAATCTTAAGCAGGCTCCATCCTCAGTGCAGAGCCCAGAGTGGGTTTGATCCCATGACGCTGGGATCATGACCTGAGCCGAAATCAAGAGTTGGATGCTCAACTGACTGAACCACCCAGGTATCCCTGAACTTCATTTTTTAAAAATCATTATTTTATTTGAGTATAGTTGATACACGATGTTACATTAGCTTCATGTGTACAACATAGTGATTCAACTTCTCTGTATGTTATGCTATCTCACTATAAGTGTAGCTGTCACACATACAATGCTATTATAATATCATTGACTATATATTCTATGCTGTGTCTTTGTTTTTATGACTTATTCATTTCATACCTGAAATCCTATATCTCCCACTCCCCTTCACCCGTTTTACCCATTCCTGCACCCTTCTTCTCTTGGGCAACCGTTGGTTTGTTCTCTGTACTTATAGATCTAATTCTACTTGTTTTTTTATTCATTTGTTTTGTTTTTTAGATTCCACACAAGAGTGAAATCATATGGCTTTGTCTTTCTCAGTGTGACTTATCTCACTTAGCGTAATACCCTCCAGGTCCGTCCATGTTGTTGCGAATGGCAAGATCTAACCCTTTTTTAAATGGCTGCATAATATTCTATCATCTATATACACCACATCTTCCTTATTCATTTGTCTATCAGTGGACCCTATGTTTATTACAGCATTATTATTTTTTTAAATGTTTATTTATTTATTTTGAGAGAGAGAGAGAGCAAGCAGGGAAGGGGCAAAGAGAGTGGGAGAGAGAGAATCCCAAGCAGGCATAGAGCCCAATGCGGGGCTCAAACTCAACGAACCACAAAATCTTGAGCTGAGATGAAATCGAGTTAGACACTTAACCAACTGAGTCACCCAGGTGCCCCTATTGGCAGCTTTATTTACAATAGCCAAGATATGGAAGCAACCTAAGTACACATTTAGCTTCATTTGGATTCTGTCATACTTTGCACAAGTCTGAGAAGGTATAGTTAAGGTCTTCATTTCTGCTGGGGAAACTTGATCATTGTCCCTGCCTGCTGAAGATAGCCTGGAGATTTCTACTCCAGTTGCACCTATTTTTAAGTGCAATTCCTACCAAGCAAAATGGATGTAGGATAGAAAGTAAATTTTGCTTCATAGATTTTTCCTACTGATTTAGTATGTGAAGCAACTTGTTAGAGATCACTTTGGTATTCTTATTTTCTTTCCAGACCCACACTCTACTAATTATGATTTTGTTTTGAAATTGACTGCAAATAACATTTGCATCTTGACAGTCCAGATGCTAAACTTACAGTCATGTGTGTTTCATTTTGCACCATGATATGACATGATACTGTATGTATTTTGTTAACTGTGAAAATTCAGTTGACACTTTCCAAATAGATATTTAAGAGACCACGTAATTTATCAACTACCTACAGCCTAAGACTTACCAGATCCTAGCCTATCACTGTTTCTTAGTTTCTTCATCCCCGATAAGTAGATATCCTTTACCTCCCCACAAGGTGTCCCCCCAAATATATGGCACAGTAAGTTTTGTAGAAATAAAATAACTTTAAAAATAAGTTAATATTCTTATGTATTTTGTGGGTTCTTATTTTATGTGTATATATAAAATACGTATGTTAATATATATGACATATATTATTATATAGTGCATATTATAATATATACTATATATAATATATAAAATATGTATAAAATCAATTTTTGGATCATAAAATAATACATCACAAAAAATTTGGGAAATATGGAAAGGAAAGAAAAACCTTATAACCCTTCCATGATGTCTACTGTTACCATTTTACACAGCTTTACTTTAGTATTTTTCTATGCTTTTATTTTTACAGAATTATAATAATTGGGTACATCTAATTCTGTATCCTGAATATAAAACTTAAATCTTGAATCTTGCTTTTTTTTTTAAACTTAGGAGTATAAGCTTTTATTTTTTCCGGATTCTACCTTATAGAAGCACTTGAGATTAAAGATCACTCTGTGATAAAATATGTTTGTTATTTGTCTACTTTTGTTATGTGTCAAGGAACCTTTGAGTAAAAGCTTTAAATTCTGGCTACTCCTGTTTGGCCAGCATTCTATAAGTTCAATAACTGCAATAATTCCTTGGTGTATGTGAGGAAATTCTTTTCCTTGGCATACTGAATCAACCCCCTGAAAAACCTATGGGATTCTCTCCCAGAACACTTACAAAGGCAAAGTTTCTCCTTCCCCCACTCTCTTATCCACTCTGTCACTTCTGCTGCCGACTTCTGCATAATATAGTCAAATTATGTGTTAGAAATTCAACCCTGGTTTCCTGGGTGATGGTACAATGCCACTACTTAGTATTCCTAGTCACATAGCTACAATTCCATCACGCTCTTAATCTATATATATCTTCATGTTCGAGAAGCAGACTTTTCAATCAGGCATGTATTAAGAGTTTAAATGTACAGAGTGAAAAAATGTAGGAGCTTCTTGAAGTCAGCAATGATGCGGGACATTTTTTTTTACCAAGATTTTGAAAGACCACCATATGGACTAACGCTTCTTGGATTCAATGATTTCTATAGTGTATCTTTTCCAGTTCAATTCTGCAAACAGAATTCTTTATATTCTCTTATAGACTTTTGAATGCCTGAACTTTAAATTGGGGCCTTTTTTGAAAGACTGGGTTTTCAAAATGAGAGGTTAGTTTTTCTTTGGAGTTGCAAAACCAGGGTGTACCCTTAAATTTTGATAATGTTATTGAGGTTCTTTGTTTCTGAAGTGGCTTAATGATCTACACAAAACAAATATCATAAACTACAGTGTTTCTTCTTCCAAATGGCCAGGTTTGTGTGATTTAAACCAGGGACTTGTAGCTCTAACTATCCATTGCTAAAATTTTCTGTGGTAAATACTTGCTTATGTGTTTATAAATATGAGAGGTTTAAACTGATGGTAAAATTGAAATTAAGATATTTTTTTGTCATGTATATTTTCTGTATTGGTTTGTTTTTCTTTCCTTTTCTTTTTTTGACCGTAATATCAAAGGCTTATGTTCCTTAAATTCTAAATCTGCCACGTTTTAAGCTGTGTTACCTTGGCTCAATTATTTTTCTGATCATTTGTTCCCTCATTAGGAAAAAAATGAAAATAATCCCACAGATTGTTATGGAGGTTAAATGAAACATTGTATGAGAAAGTATAAAGCCCTTCACAAACACATATTATTTCTATATTCTTAATGATCATGGATTATTTGGTAGCCTAAGTGTTACCCTCTATTCTTTTCTCTCCTTCTGAGAAGCTTTGCACTGATTTCTTGGATTTTTGTATTTTGTGAACCTCTTTTTCCACATTTCAGATTAATTGGCTTGGAAAATTATGATATTTACTTACACACATACATTATATGCACTCAAAAGTTAGTTTGGAGAATACAAATAAGCCACGTATTTGTATTCAACTAAGGGTACTGAGCTCTTTTTGTGTGTGTGTATCTCTTTTTTTTTTTTCCCTGTAGGTCTTAAAAATTGTCAGCAAAACTGTGCCGGATAAGAGACATTCTAAGAGGGGATATTTTTCACCTCTATAATGAAGAAAAGCAGGAGTGTGATGGCAGTGACGGCTGATGATGTAAGTTCTAAAAGTCAGAGTTGCTCGATTCTATCCACTTTTTGTCTGCTCAATGAAGTCAGTCTATAATTTTATTCAAAGGGCAGGCTAGGCTGTTTAACAGCACCACTTTGTCACTAATTATTCCTGTGACCCAGGCATTGCCAGCACCTGGTCCCAGAATTCTGCAAAGTAGACAACAGGAACACTGCCCTCTCTGCAGCTTGGAGATGGGCTCAGCTTCATGGTTGAATTCACAAAACCCCCAATCTCTGATGGATGCCTACATTCCAACTCTTGCAAACTCCTCTTTCTACACTGCTTGCATGATCAGTTTCCTGATGACTTTCTTACCCATCATTACTCAGGCACAGCTAATCTTTGAGAGTCACCTCCTATGGTGGGGTCTTTGACAACTGCTTGTAAGAAGCCTGTGATGTATGCATCCTGTAGATCTTGGCTACTCAAATGTGATCCTCAGAGCAGTGGCATTAGCATTGCCTGGGTGTTTATTAGAAATGCAGAGTCTTAAGCCACATCTTAGACCAACAAATCAGACTGTATTTTAACAAGATCCCAGGGTGACTAGATACATTCATTCTTTCAGAAACCCTGCTCCAGGTTATCTGAAGAAGTCTGTAAACTTACCATTTCATAACTTTGCATCATGGGCGGCTGAGATTAATTATCTCCTTTGCTTTCAATTGCCCAGTCTCCTGTTAGTGTGACTTTAATTGTCCAGGTTTTACTCAGTTTCTGATTGTAATTGAGTTAAAAATTATATGCCGACTGATATGATGTGCAGAAGGAAAAGAGGGGGGTAGGAAAAAAAAGTATTTTTCCTTGCTTTCTGTAATACCTCATCTTGTGGTTAAGCTCCTGTTTCAACAGATGGGGGACGGGCTGGAAGGAACTTGAATCTGCCAATTACTGTAAAAGTCTGTCTTTTGGTTAAATGCCCTGTCTTTCAGGATTTTTCCCTGTTCTTACTTCTTCCCTTGCCCATGGCATTGGGCAAAGGGACTTAGCATTAATTAACATTATGGTAAAAGATGTGCGGTATTGTCCTTGTCTTGTATGGTCCCCTTTCCACTAACATCCACTATTGTTCAGTTGAGGAACAGCTCATTTTCCCAGGTCTTGGGTGTCAAGTCTCTGTCCTTGGTCCATTGCTGATTAAGCATGTGACAGGTGTATGAAGTGATGACTGCTTTCAGCGTGAGCAGTATACCTTCTTAGTGCACTGTGAGTTTGACCTTCTCCCCCACTGCGTGAACTCCTCTCAGCGGGGACTCTGTTTGTTTAAAAGCTTTGCTTTCTGTCCTACACTTACGTTGGGGCTGCTTACCCCATGGACTTCTGGTCCCTTTGCCACATGTTGAAGCAAATCCCATAGCAGGCAAGCAGAAGCTAATTCTCAGCTTCTTTCTGTGTCCCTGTAGGTGCTTGTGGGAACTTCTTGGACCCACAGGTGCAGAAGGAGACTTAGCTGTGCTGTAAGGCTCTTGCCCACCAAAACATACCTTTTCGCCATTGCAATTTCTACTCTTGGTTAGTGTTCTAGTTTCATCACCTGTGATAATATTGCCTTTCTTTATTTCCCCCTTCTCTGCTCCTTGACTACAAGGGAACTTCCCTTAACTCATATTCTAAGTTCTCAGTACCCATGGTAAAAAGTGATGTTCAGACTTCCATGCTCTACTCTGGACATCTAAACGGACACTTTGGGAGTTCAGAAATCATTTTTCTTAAAAACAAATAAAAACACACACAAAAAAACCCACCTTGGGATTGTCTTTTAATACTATTTGTATACTGTGTGCTCCAAGATTCTGTTTTTTGGAAGAATAAAACAAAGCAATGCATTCTGTCTATAAAAGATGGACAATGATTCTTTCCTTACAGTAATAATCCCAATCCTCCCTTGAGGCAGTCAGTTGCCACAGTCAAAAGACAAAAGATGGAGATTGTTGCATACAAGAATGTGCAAAAAAGAAAAGCACATTCAAAGAATATTAAACCTACCAGAGTGGATAATTATTACCTAATTTGCAGTGTCCAACATGCACTAGCCACATATGACTCTTAAGCACCAGTCTGAATGGCAATATGCTGTAAGTGTAACAATAGATCTTGGATTTTGAATATATAATAGTATAAATATAAAAGAATGTAAAAAAATTCATTAATAATTTTTTATATAGATTACATTTTGAAATGATGATATTCAGGGTATACTAGTTTAAGTAAAGTATACTATTAAAAGTAATTTCACCTGCATCCTTAAATAATGTAACATTATATGTCAACTATACTAAAAAAAAGTGATTGCACATGCTTCTTTTTTACTTTTTTAATGTGGCTACTAGAAAATTTAAAATTATACACTTGGCTCCCATTTGTGGCTTGCACCTTATTTCTAGTGGACAGTGATGACCTGGCACTTTTCACTATGTGCCTTGACTCTTCGAGTACAAAGCTTATCCTGAATGTTAACACACACTATTTCTTCCCTCACAACAAGAGCAACTTCGCAGTTTACATTTTATTACCACACTCTTGAAATAAGTTTTCACCCTTAAGTCAAAAATATTTTATCATATTTTTATTTATTTTAATTCAGCAAACATTTATTTAGTGATTTAAATAGTCATTTAATTTAGCACCTGTTATCTGCCAAACACTTGTTAGGTTCAAGAGCATAGTGTTAATGTCCCTTTGAAGCTTATATTCCAAAGAGGCGTGGAGAAATCAATGGATAGATTATAAAATAATCTCAGCTCTGATAAGAGCTATACAGAAAAGTGAAGTTGGTCAGCAGGCAAAGAATGCTTGGATGGTGAGAATAGAATGTTTATGGAGGAATAACGGGAGAAGATGATGTACGGACAGAGAGGCCATGTAGGCTGTGAAGGTGTGAGCCCTCTGAAGATCAGAGGGAAGAACATTTCTGGTAAAGGGAACAACATGTGCAAAGGTCTTTACTGCATGTAAAATACTATGTTTGTCTCTGTCAGAATAAACAAATGCATAACCATGACTATTGTGTTTGTATAATTACAGTACACAAATAACTTTAATAGGAGACTTTATATGATGAATGACACAGGAACAGTATGCATTAAGTACTTTGTGTTTGGGAACTAAGTATCAGAAGTGAGGAATAAATTAATGCTGTTCAGGTACTAAATATGAGCAATTAATTATTAGTAAAGGGATTAAGAATAGCTCACATAGGTGGGAGTTGCTGGTTTAGGGAAGAGGGGAAAAGGGGAAAATGGATAAGAGGTAGGAAAGAAGAACCAGGAAATATGTGACACACACACACACACACACACACACATACACAGAAAGAGAGAGGGGCTGATTTTACATATAAAATATATTATTTACCTCTGGGCAAACTACTCATAAGTGATGGTGATTGCCTGCGATTAAAATACATTTTTCAAAGAAAAAATACTTTTGTTATCGTGTCATGGAGCATCGTGACATTTAGTTTTCATAGGGTCACTGAGTGTCACTTGTTACTGCCCATACTTTCTTTCCATTTCTCGTTTCATAAGGTTTGAAAAACTCTGGCCTATGGTCCAAAGTGAATTGTACCCAAGCTCACTAGAAGTCCTTGGGGGTACCCAATCCCATTTCCTCACCAGGAGTTTAATCAGAAGAATTCCAAAATTGGAGCAAGCTCCAAAAATGTCTTGGGATAGACTAGCAAAGCCAAAATAAAACAACAGCAGCAGCAACAAATTTGTAACTACCTAGGAACTGATATTCCTCAATTGGACATTTCAGTGTTGCTAACTTGGTTAGTTTTTTCTTTCTTTTACACATTATTTATTTTGAGAGAGACAGAGTGTGAGTGGGGGAGGGGGCAGAGAAAGAGAGGGAGACAGGGAATCCTAAGAGCCCTACATGGGACTGGAACTCATTAAGTTGTGATTATCCAGGAGCATGAGGATAATCCCAAACTGGGTTATTCCCCTTGGAGTTGTAGAGATATAGGGTGAATTTGGGGTAGTATGATGCATTTAAAAATTTGTAATTTCCAGAAGTAACATTCAAATTAATGTTTCTTTCCCCCAAATCTTTGATCTGAGGAGTGGTGTAGTCAGCCAGAATCATGCTAGTTAAAATAGGAATATAAATCTAAGATCTCAAATTCAGTAATTGAGAACTGACTGAATTAGATTTTTCCCTTGAGGACGTTGGCAATTTGGGGGGATTACTATATAGATTATGAGTGTAAATGTAGAGTTGGAGTAACTCTACATGGGTTAATGAGTGTTTATAAAACAATATTAATTTTTTTAATTTTTTTAATTAAAAATTTATATATATATATGATTTATTGTCAAGTTAGTTAATATACAGTGTATATTCAGTGTGTTCTTGGTTTTGGGGGTACAGTCCCATGATTCATCACTTGTATAAAACAATATTACTTAATGTTCCCACAATTTTAAGTTATTTCTAAAAAGCCACTCCATTATGTTCTTTTGTGGCAATGCATTTTCACATTAACTGGGGTCTTTTTTTTAAATTTTTTTTTCAACGTTTATTTATTTTTTTGGGGACAGAGAGAGACAGAGCATGAACGGGGGAGGGGCAGAGAGAGAGGGAGACACAGAATCGGAAACAGGCTCCAGGCTCTGAGCCATCAGCCCAGAGCCTGACGCGGGGCTCGAACTCACGGACCGCGAGATCGTGACCTGGCTGAAGTCGGACGCTTAACCGACTGCGCCACCCAGGCGCCCCAACTGGGGTCTTTTAAAACAAATTATTTTAACTCAAGGAATGACTTCAAATTCATAAATTTGAGCCTGTTAGCAAGTCAGTGTGGGGTACATTTTGTGGTAGGTATGACTTTGTTACCTTTCAAATAACAAGTACAAAACAAGCACCCATTTAGTTCATTTACTACAATTAAACCTAGTTGAAAATACTTTTCCTTTTCTAAAAGGGAAAACTATCCAATAACTTTATTAGGAGACTCTAGTGGTTGGTGGTTTAACTAAACAATGTCCTTATTTCTGTTCTCTGGTACAAGTGCCCTTGCATAGCAGGTAATGTTTATACTTATGACTTGCTTCCAGATAACCAGTACTTTCTTTACATGAATATTTGGAATAAGACTGATTTATAGTCAGGAGTTCTGGCTTTTAGTTTGTTCTTGAGTCTTTTCAGGAAGACTTTGTGTATTCTGTTTCAGGAACTTATCTTTATGCCTTTTCAGGAAAAAAAAAAAACCAACCACACAAAACCTTATATATACCAAGCTTTCCCCTCAGCCTCTAATTTGTAAAACATACATACACACACACACACACACACACACACACACACACACACACACACAGTAACTACACTAAGTGCTAGGCCTACAATGAATTTAACATAACTGGTTAGTAAATAGTGAAACGCTGACCACATCCCAGAATATTTTAAACTCTGGAAAATTATATTTTGTCTTCTTGTTGAATTGGGGTCCTACTAAATTTTAAATAAATGGTATTCCTGTCAAGCACAAGAAAATGGGGGTGGTATCCCATTTCAAGTAGAGGGTGGGGCCCCTGAAAACTGTCAGACCTATTCATACCCAAATTTCCTTCATCAAAAGGTGGTTTTGTGTGGATCAGATAAGCATAAATCACTAGAATATAGGTTTCTGTGAGCATAGATACTATGCTTCCATTTGCTGTTGTATCCTTCTTAAGTAGCTCAGTGTAAAACTATAATGGGTATGCAACAAATATTTGTTGCACCAATCAAGATAGACCTTGAAACTCAAGTTAGTTGTTCTTGTATGAACTAGGATAGGGATGAGTGGAATGGGAGATAAAGAACTTTTGTTTGTTTAAGCCTTTGGAGATATATTCCCGGGTTTTCCTAACTCTATTCTGAAAGGCTAGCAGGGAAGAACCTGTCTTTTTAGGGCCACAGAATGATGTTCGGGTGAGACACCTTGGTCTGGTGATAGGACTCCATTATTCCATGTTAAGAGAGTGATGGTTGCAGCTTTTGAGCTCCAAGTTGCTATCAATGGGTATTTGCATTGCTATGACATTTTCTGTCTTTGAGCTGGTATGAATGATACATCAGGGAGTAGCTCATTTGGGACTCCTACTCCCAACAGTGCCAGGACCTACAGTCACCAAGAGATGTAGGGAGGACGAATAACTCTTGTCAGTGGTTACAGCACAATGTCTTTATCTTCTCACAAGTACTTCATTTATGTCAGCATTAGGGCACGTACTGAACACATGCAGTTCAGTTCAGGGCTGGATAAAGTATACTCTTCTTTCTCTGAGCTCTTACATAATTTTACCAAAAAAAAAAAAAAAAAAAAAAAAAAAAAGAAAGAAAGAAAGAAAGAAAGAAAGAAAGCAAGGAAAGAAAGACAAAAGGAAAGAAAGAAAAAGAAATCTCAACTCTGAGAAAATCTCTTATGGGAACAGGAATAAGTCAGTTCTCCATAATTATCAAGATCTTTCTGTCCTGAGATAGAAAATATTTTTACTTTAAAACCCTAAGCAAGAAAGGGTATGCCTTAGCTAATGTGGTTTTCTCCTGTGTTGCAGAATGATAACATTGATTTCCAATATATATTCAATGATAGGTTTTCATTTTAGCAAGTTAAAATGAGAAGGAAAGGAAAAAAGAAATAAAAATTTAAGAGAGAGAAAGAAGATAGAAAGCCCTCTGATCCACATGCTATAACTGGTAAATATTACCTACTGTCCTAAAAATCACCAAGAATGTGCAACTGATAGTTTATTCCAAAAGTTGAAAGTTAGCCAGCCTGCCCACTTCTTGTTTTCTCTTAAGCTTTTAATGTGAGTGTTAGATTCTGATTGTGAGATCACGAATCAGGACTTTATGAGTGACAGCTGGATCATTTAGGTTCTTATTTCACTCCACTGTGCATCATTTTAGACATTTGAATTTCATTGTCTTTTTCTTCTTTTTTCTCTCCCTGTGGTTCCTTCAGAATGTGAAAGATTATCTTGAATGTAGCTTGAGTAAATCCTACAGTTCTTCTAGTAACACACTTGGGATCGACCTCTGGAGAGGGAGAAGGTGTTGCTCAGGAAACTTACAGTTACCGCCCCTGTCCCAAAGACAGAGTGAGAGGGCAAGGACTCCCGAGGGAGATGGCATTTCCAGACCTACCACGCTACCTTTGACGACACTCCCAAGCATCGCTATTACAACCGTAAGCCAGGAGGGGTGAGTAGTCTCAAAATTAAATGTCAGTTCTAAGTTTTATTTTCTGATTATTCCAACATAATCTCCTGCTATTAAAATGTTGGGTATTTGTGAAGTAACTGAGGCTGTTGACGTTTTGAGAATTTGTTTTCCTTTGGGTAGAAAGAGGAGGCCCTTTAAACAGTGGAGAGATTTTCAACCTGTTAAGATTGGAAGGAGCCTATCGAGGGAGGAATTGGATACATTTTTATTAATGTCAAGGGAAAACAAAATTACTGCCTATGATCAGTTTTTTTTAATAACTATTCAGTGTGCATCAATATGTTTCCATTTAGAAAAGCAAAATCGTATCAGAGTACCTAAGGGAATTATGTATGTATATATGACAGGAGGTATTTTTATGCTCTGCTCTACATATAATTATTCCTAGTTTCTTTTTATTATTATACCGTTTTACTAACCTCAGATTGTGATTATGTATGAAATAGAACACTTCATTATAAATCAAAAGAGGAATGAAAATTATACTCTGAGAGACAGATGCTTGGGCTATTTTGCAGTCTCTATTTGTAAATGAGGCTATCTGAATCTAGGGCTGAAAAGTTAATCAAGTACATATAATCTTATAATTGTGGTTAAAATTGCACGGTGATGCTGCTTCAGATGTGTGTTTCATCATACATTTAATAATTAGCATTTTGTTTTTTTTCATTTTTTCCTCTACATAATTTTCAAATATTTTCCAAGCATGGCCTGCTTACATAACATGGGGTTTTTTATTTTTTTATTTTTTTATTTTTTTATTTTTTTATTTTTTTTTTTTAAATTTTTTTTTTTTTCAACGTTTATTTATTTTTGGGACAGAGAGAGACAGAGCATGAACAGGGGAGGGGCAGAGAGAGAGGGAGACACAGAATCGGAAACAGGCTCCAGGCTCTGAGCCATCAGCCCAGAGCCCGACGCGGGGCTCGAACTCACGGACCGCGAGATCGTGACCTGGCTGAAGTCGGACGCTTAACCGACTGCGCCACCCAGGCGCCCCTGCATGGGGTTTTATCATTACAATGAAAAGTGTTTTCTCTATATTTTATGTAATTTTAAATTTTAAAAATATGGTGTACTTTTTGTTTAAATCATTTATCAAGGAGAAGGACTAATATTGCATCATTAAAATCTGGTTTTTATGCTGTGCCATATACCCTTGCCACTTGGTGAGCTTCCATAGTGCTGATGCGTAGCCCAGTATGTACCCATTGACTAATGCAGGGCATTTTTTAGTTGCTGGTTCTCAAATCCACTAAGAATTAGATCACTGGGACTCCAGCCATTATAGTTACTGGCATGAAATGGTTCGTCAGACAGTCTGTATGTGATAGATAGAGAAGCATGGTAACATACCATAGGGAGAACGGGTTAAAAATTTGTGACGCACTGACTTACCATCTTCTGTTGAGCTGAATTAACATTAGAATTGTCATAGCCAATCATTGAGAACTAAAATGGGCATATCACTCCCGGATCGCTTACTCAATTGCATAGCTCATGTAATTAGTCTTGGTTATGTTTCTGCAGAATTGCAGATTTGGAGTTGTAAAGAATTCCACAGATTTATTTTTCAGCAAGTTGGCACTGGTACAGTTGTACCAGTTGTTACAATTTTGAAATGCTTTCATACCAGTTGGTAAATGTATGCTTTCCTGAGTTCTCTGATTGCCCCTTCTAGCATCCCAGACTCTTTCCCAGAAGTAAATTCCTCACAATCCAGCACCTAAGGGGGTGATGACTGGCACAGCACGGATCTGGTTTGGGCAGGTGTTGATGACATACTTTATAGGATAACAATCTGGATAAAATGTACCTTGTAAATTTTGAATTTATCTAACTCAAGGACACCTTGAAAGTTGTGGAATTGTCCTTCCCATAGAAGTATCAAATCCTGCCTGACATTTGGGACATGATTGTCTATCTCTGTCAGTTGAGTGTATTAGTTTGTACAGCGACAGTAATAATACTCACCTCATAGGCTATTGTGAGGATTAAATATAGTAGCCTCTGTAAGATACCTACCTTAGTAAAAAGCACATGTTAGGTTATCAACAAATGTTAGTTTCTGTCCCCTTGAATATTATCCAGTAAACCCTTTTGAAAACTAGAAACCATGTGTTAAGTTATCAGCAGCCTCATGCAGGGTCCCAGTAATTTAAAGTGAAGCGGAAGATTTAGCCATTATCCAGGGAGTTTGTGTTGTGCAATCAGTAACACTACATATTAAGTAATTCATTCATAACATGTCTTTCATTTCAATTACCTGGATACTTTTTAATATATGAGAGAGTATCAGTCATTGACTCTACATTTATTTTTAACTGTGGGTATAAAAGCATTGCTATATGTTCCTTAAAAATGCTTTCACTGGAACATGCATAGTTGCACACTGGTAGAATTGCTGGCTGAGGAATCTGATTGAAAGACATTTGATTAGAAGTGAGGAAGTCGAGCTCCAACTATCACTGTCATCAACTTGATGCAAGTTCACAGATGTCAGGGATGCAGCCTCTGACCATGTGTGGGAAAGAATTATACTTACCACTTAGAGCACTGAGAATATGGAATCAATCTCCATGTCTAAACCAGGGGTGAGAAAACTTTCGGTGAAAGGTCAGCTAATATTTTTGGCTTTGTGGGCCTTGCAGTCTTTTTCATGACTATTCAACACTACTGTTATAGTGTGAAAGTAGCCATAGATAATGCATGATGAATAAATGTAGCCGTGTTCCAGTAACACTTAATGTATACAAACAGGTAGCAGGCTAGATTTGGCTTGCCAGTCAGTTTGATGACTCCTGACCTAGACTTAAAAAAGATCTCTAGGACATGACTCCTACTCTGGTATTGCTTTGACAGTTACAACTGGGTGAAACTTCTCTTGAGCTCCTGGTTGTTGTGCTAAATGTGCCATAGATAAGGGGCCATGTGCTAGAGATTAGATTTTTAAAGCCAGTGAAGGAATTTGAGTGATGCAAATGAAAGGTAGTGCCAAGTGTATATAAGGTTAAAAAGAAAAACCCTGATATAAATTTAGCTGTTGTTTGGAGAGAGCACATTGATGACAGAACTTGGCTGTCATTGCAGGCAAAAGGTCTGGAATATAAAGACAGTGGTTTGATTTACCATAGAGAAAGAACAAATTATAAATGACCTGTGTCCAACTGAGTTAACTTGCATCCTATTACCTTTTGGATAAGGTTCTTCATCCCACAGAAACCCAAATGGACACACAATGGAAAGATAATACCTAGTTTTCAGAGTTGTGATGAAAATTAAAGATAATATGTGTGATTTACACTTTAAAAAATCATAAATTAGAGCCGAGGAAGAAAGGATAGCAATCAAATATTACTCTCAATATTTTCATTAGTGAGGAAAGAGAATGGAAGCTGATTGGAGAAGACTCAATGAAGGAGAAGTGCTGTAATGTGGAGACTTATCTATGCTGAATGGAAGGAACCAGTAGATGGGGAGACATTGAAGATAAGAGAGATGGGCAAAGTTGGTATTGAATATACTAAGGAAGGTACAGGGGGAAAGATGAGTTTCAGACAAGATTAGAAATCTCTTCTTTTGAAATGTGTAAATCCAAGGCAGAAAAGAATGAATATATTGGAAATTACAAGAAGAGAATTAGGAGAACTTCTTTTCCAAAGATCTCTACCATCAATGTTTATCAAATATTAGAGTGCATCAGAAACCCCTTGAAGGCTTATTGAAAAACAGATTGCTGGACCCCAACCTAGAGCTGAGAGTCTGGGATAGGGCTTAGAATACATAGTTCTAACAAGTTCCCAGATGAAACTTCTGGAACTGACCTGGGGTCCACATTTTGAGAATTCTGGCCTAGATTTTCTCAATGAAGTAGGAGGTTAGGTCATTTGCTGAATATAAGGGCAGTGGTCCTTCCACTTTCCTTTCAACCAAAGGTATACATAGTTCCAGATCACCAAGCATGAATTTTTATTTGGTGGTATTTCTTTTTTCTGTGCCACGCCAGCTGACCTGTGGAGCAATTGAATTCCCAGGTATTAGATAATAGTACTGCTTTAAGAATGCTCACATCTTGGAGTGCCTGGGTGGCTCAGTCAGTTAAGTGTCTGACTCTTGATTTTGGCTCAGGTCATGATCTCACAGTTGTGAGATCAAGCCCTACATCAAGCGCTGCGTTGAGCCCCACCTTGGGCATGGAGACTGATTAAGATTCTCTCTCTCTTTCTCTTCGT